TTCCTAGTTCAACATAGGGAGTTAGTTGCTTGGGCTAAGATAAAAGTTTCTGTGGAATTCTTAAGAACAGGCCCAGTGGAATTTGCCCAGCACCCTTCTACCCCCTAAATGCTGAGCAGTGATAAAGTAAGGCTGTCTCTATGTGAAATGCCTTGGTATTAAAAGGCCTGGAATTAGGAATTTAGTTGGTTTGTGATTTGAACTGTTTTACCCTCGTTTCTGATTAATTCATGCCAAAAATTCACGTATATTAAGTTTTCCATATAAAATTTGTTGTTCGTTCAATTTTTTTAAGACTATGAAAGGAAAAAAAGCTCAATAGTCACCTAAAGCCTGAACTTGATACTTAGTATTCCACTTTAGCGGCCAGGTTAAAGAAAGATTTCCCATCAAAAAAGAAGACTTCTCAGCGGCTACATTCTTCAGTTCAAAACACTGAACATTTTTCCAGTGTATCCTGGGTACCAGGAAGCCTGCCTTTATTTATTATTTATTTAGTTAGTTAGTTATTTATTTTAAGTAACATTAACAGCAAAATTGAGAGGAAGGTCAGAGATTTCCCACATGCCCTCTCTCTCCCTTCATCTGCAGCTTCCTCTATTTTCAGTATCGAAATCTCTCACTTGAATGGTATCTTGCTACAACCACCCACACAGTCCACAGGTTTCATTGGTGGTGTACATGATGTGGGTTTGATGAATTTATTATGGGATAGATCCACAATGAAAAGAAGCCTCCTAGCCAAGGTTCTACACTGGTTCCTACAAGAAGGCCAGCTGGCATTTAAAATAAGAGAAAAGGCACAAAGCTCTCTTATAATGAAGTATATCTGTGTCCCAAATACTGCAGTATTTGGGGCTATTGATACTTCTTTTTTGTTCAGTACTTGTCTGAGGAACCAACCTAGGTGAGCATCCAATATTGTATCTGCTAAACAAAGCCTTCTGAGTCATAAGATCTGAAAAAACAGAGGAAAGTATTTTTCAAGGAGGTTGAAGGTGTTTGCTTAGGTCACTAGCAGTGTTGGCCCAATGATTACAGGATTCTGGAAATATGAATTGTGTAACATAAACACATGTAAACCAGAGAACCCCAACCTTTGTAACCCCAGCATTTTGCTATTAGCATATGTTGAAATTTTAGTGTTTTGTCCTCAGTTCTGATTAATCCTCAGTTGATTATTAATCAATCTTAACTTTCCATCTTCCCAGGTTCCTAAGTTAATCATCTACTCAGGAATTCTTAAATAGAGCCAGAGACCCCATAGTGTGAGTCCTTTGTTCAACACAGTCTTTTAAGAAAACATTAAAGACAACTTTGTATTTTGATTAATCACTTCAAATATGTCTATTTTAGAAGGCTGGATTTCTATATAAATACTTTTTAACAAATAGAGGAAAAAATAATTGTTATAAGTAAATACAGGTGGACTTCATTTATTTTCTCCTTACTAGCTAATAAGTGAAAGAATCACAAGAAGCCTAAGCAGATCATTTTTTAAAAATAAGTAGTTTGTTGCAATAAATCAGGATAATTTAAGGATTTATTGTTGCTTTTAAGCAAACTTCCTAAAGGAAGTGCAATGAGAAAGCAGTTCTAAGGAAATGGAAAACAGGCATGTTCTCCCCTCCAGCCCCTGGGTGCATTTCATTTCTCCCCTTTGGGAAGATGCAGGCTGAAGAAGGCACTGGTCTAAGCTGTGAGGAAGGTGGGGATGACTCTTCGCCTCTCTGGCAGGAAATGACTGTACTGCCCAGGACTTCACAGGTTCCTCATGATTTGGACTGTTCATTCTGGAGCCCTTCATTTCAAAAAGATGCAGTTTTCCACAGGAACCGTGGTATCCTCTTGAAAAATTAACTTTCTGTCTCCCTTTGAAAGTAACTTGATTCAGTCAACAGTTATCAAGACCCCCAGAGAGCAGACCCCATTCCAAGCATTTGTTTGTGATTGATCAGTTTCTGCCTCAGAGGATCACAAGTTTGAGGTCAGCCTAGGCACAAAGCAAATGTGGACCGACTGCTCTTGCAGAGGACCCGGGTTCAATTCCCAGCACCCACATGGCAGCTACGAACTGTCCTTAACTCCAGTTCCAGGGGAATCCAAAGCCCTCTTCTGACCTCCGTGGCACTGCACGACACGGGTACACTCACATGCATGCAGACAATACACTCGTACCATAAAATAAAAAAATAAATATTAAAAAAAAATGACAACAATAGAAAACACACATAGTTTCTGCCTCTTTGAGTTGGCATTCTCTCAGAGAACATAGGTGATAAATAAAAAGACCAAGTTAAATAGTATGTTAGCATGTAGGGGCATTATGGTAGGGGTAGAGGAGCTCAGGGCAGAGGGACCAAAAGTTTGGGGAGGTATTGCATTTTTGACCCAAACATCAGAGTGGGACTGATCATAACATTCAAGCACAAACTTGGAGGAGATGTGGGGGGAGTGGCACAGGGCCTTCTGAGGAGCAGTGGTCCAAGCAGAGATAGCCATTAGAGCTGTGCTTCTCATTTGGGATGATTTAGCCCCTGGGGACATTTGGTAAAAGGTAGACATATTTCTGGTTTTCTAATGAGTAAGATGGTAGGCTAGGGTACTACTGGCATGGACTGGATAGAGTCAAAGGACTCAGTTTGACAATGTGCTGTGTACAGGACAGCCTCCCACAACAAGAAATGATTCACCTCAAAATGTCAGTGGTGCACAGGGAAGGGAAGGTAAAGAGAAATAGATGAAGTCAGAGATAACAAAGGCTGGAATAATGTAAAGGCTGGGTTAGGTAGAGCCTTTTGACCAGTCTGGGCTTCTACTATTATGCCAGGGATAATAGCGAACTTTGGATGGTTTTGAGTAGATGGGGGAATGATCCAGCTAATGTTTTAAGAGTGTCCCTCTGGGTAGAAAATAGGTTGAAGAGAGGTGAGAGTGTCTGGGGAGATGGGTTAGTTGATTAACTGCCACGAAAGCATGAAGATCTGAGTTCAGTACTCAACAACCATATCAAGAATTCCAAAAGTCAGTACACTTGTAATCCCAGCACTGGGGAGACAGAGACAGGCAGTTCCCTGGGGCTTGCTGGCTGGCCAGTATAGCCGAGTCAGTAAGCTCCAGGTTGAGTATGAGACCTGTCTCAAAAAACAAGGTGAAGAGCAATTGAGGAAGACACCAATGTTGACCCTTGGCTTCCACAGGCATGTGCATACTTGCACACACACAGGGGCACACACATAAACATGTATACATGAGAAAGAGAGAGAGAGAGAGAGAGAGAGAGAGAGAGAGAGAGAAATGTAAATAAGTGGGACAATTCAGGGACAGGTACAGTTTTTAGGCTTCTGCCAGGGAAGAACCACTTTGCCATTTAGTGCAGCCAAACAATCCAAGCCTAAACAACAATGCACTCTTGATTCTAATCCCCAATCTTTATTATACATCATATTGTGCACCTATGTAGTATATATGTGTAGATACATAGATATATTAGATAGATGATTAATAGACAGATGATAGATTGTGTGTGTATGTGCATGTGTGTAAAATGTAGTAGCTGAGGCCCTAAGCTAACACCTTAAACACACACACACAACATATATATGGTCAAGTCACATTAGCTACATTTCATTTTACACAATAGGATATTTGTTATGTTTTAACAATTAAACAAGTTGGGTTTATAATAATCTTTCTGAGCCTGAATTGTCTTGCAAAAAAAGCCCTACTTACTCTTACTAATAATTCTTTTGAAGTATATTTTTCTAGGCCACATATAACCCTAAACCTCCTAAATTGCCTCAAATAGAATGAGGTGAGGATTAGATGAGCGTAAAAACCTTGTTACCTAATAAAAAGGAGTTGGATTTTTCTCTCCTGCCTTAATGGACATGTATTAAATCATTCCAATAGTTTTCTTAGCTATCCAAAGCAAATGCTGAAGTACTCAGAGACTTTAGGAGGATTGCAGATTGATGCCTTCCTAGGGCTCTCTGGCACCCTGGTGTGTTCACAGGCACCTTGGTGCTCTCATCTTTCTTCCATGAGATCTCCCTGGGGAGCACGTGTCTTGTAGCCACACAGTGGGAGCCACGTAGCAGTCTCAGCAGAGACTGGCCTCACTCCCGGACACAGGCGGCTGCATCCATCTGCAACAGTCCCTCAATTTGTATATTGCTGTGATGCATTGAAATCACTCTAATTTTGTTAGAGTTGTGCTGTTTGAAGGAAAGTTGTTTCTTTGTTAGTAAAGTAAAAGCTGCTTTTCTCTTCCTTCATGTTGGGGCGGGGGCAGTTTTAAAATAGAGTTGAATTCTAGAGCTGTTGGTGTGTTCTGTCCGAACGGTTCTGGTCTTGCTCAGCCAGCCAAAGTCAGGGTAAGTTTCAGTGTTGCAGAGGAAAATAGCGGAGCTGGAACGGGTCACCTTGTCTCAGCCTCTGAGATGTGGTTCCTCAGCTTGCTCCAGCTTGCTCCAGTATCCCCCATCTACAGCAGAATGCCCCAGCAGCTTGTTAGCATGCAGGTCCCTCTGTGCCTCCCCCAACCAAGGAACTCAAGGTATCTGAACACAAGGCCCAGAATCTACATCTCAGCAAACATCCAGGTTTTTTCCTGCACACTCATGTTTGAAAGCCAGTCTCAAAGTTAGGTAATGAGGCAAGAAACAGGGTCTTAGATGTCAGCAGGCTCACAGCCCCCCTTTGTCTACTTGCTAAAACTGGCAGGTATCATTCAAATGAACAGTACACGTACAAAGATTTAAGTACTACAAGGCCCCGTGTTGTCACCACATGCATCTCTTCTTTCAACAAAAATCTGTGACATGTTGGAGGGCACATTTTAGCCTCTTCTCTTAGTGGGATACTGTGGACATTTAGCTTACCTGGTGACCATTTTGCTCTGGGTCCAATTCTGGCTGATATCAGGGGCATTTGGACTTAGAATATTGCCTGAAATGACTGTGGTTATCTCATGTGACATTTTCTGTTTTGTTGAACAGCCAATATGCCAGAGGATTATCCTGACCAGTTTGATGATGTCATGGATTTTATTCAAGCCACCATAAAAAGACTGAAAAGGTCACCAGATAAACAAATGGCAGTGTTTCCTCGAAGAGAGCGAAATCGGCAGATTGCAGCTGCCAACCCAGAGAATTCCAGAGGAAAAGGTCGCAGAGGCCAGAGGGGCAAAAATCGGGGTTGTGTCTTAACTGCAATACATTTAAATGTCACTGACTTGGGTTTGGGCTACGAAACCAAGGAAGAACTGATCTTTCGTTACTGTAGCGGCTCTTGTGATGCAGCTGAGACAATGTACGACAAAATACTAAAAAACTTATCCCGAAGTAGAAGATTAGTGAGTGACAAAGTAGGCCAGGCGTGTTGTAGACCCATCGCCTTTGATGACGACCTGTCATTTTTAGATGATAACCTGGTTTACCATATTCTAAGAAAGCATTCCGCTAAACGGTGTGGATGTATCTGACCCCGGCTCCAGAGACTGCTGTGTATTGCATTCCTGCTACAGTGCAAAGAAAGGGACCAAGGTTCCCAGGAAATGTTTGCCCAGAACGGAAGATGAGGACCAAGGAAGTGGAGGAAGAAAAAAGGATGAGGAGAAGGAGGAAGGCAGCCATTGATCATGGGAGCCTGGTAGAGGAAGGTCCAGCTACAGAAAACTGGATAGGAGTGAGAGAGGCCGTCCAAGCACTCCAGGATGGCAGCTGATGTCACCAGAAGCTCAGGGCTGGTGTCCCTGCTTGGCTGTTGCCAGCGTTTATCTGATACAGTCCACAGTCACTGACCACGGTCACAGTCGCGGATGCTCGCAAAGAACCAAACCAGTGTATCTCCTGTGGTTCATTTTCACATGTCTGAAGACACCAGGGAAATGTGATGATCCTGGTGTCACCTCTTGTCACTACGTTTTACTGCTGAAAATAAGAAAGGTTTATTTTCCTGTCACTCAATGGATTCATACCCTGCAAGGAGAGGGGGGAACAAAAACAGAGACACAAAAGATAATAGCCTTTGAATTTGATGACTGAGGCCTGAGGTTTTACTATATCCAGCATTTTGGGAGATGGTTGGTGGTTTGATTTTGAACATGGTGTGTGGGGTAGGGAGAAGTTGGCTAAGATTAAAAACAAACCTGAAGGCATTTCCTTTATGTCCTCAGAAACAGGAAGCGAGTTGTGGTTCTCGGCAGCATTCTAGTGGGAGAGCCAACTGCCCCAGCCAGGGAAACCCATCTGGGGCTTGTTGGTTTACAGAGATGGATGTTACATACCCAGCTCCGTTTATGTGTGGTCACCAGTGACCAGAGAAGCTACTCGATGCAATGCATCTGTTTCAGACACAGAAATATAGAAAAGATATTTATTGAGATTTAAGTTATTGTTATTTATTACCATTCACTAACGAATATCTCTTTTCTTCCCTTATTTATTAAAGTTTCTTTTCAAAGGTGCCAAAGTATATGTGCTCGCAAAGTGCAAAGAAAGGTGACACAAGGAAATTTTAATTGAGAACAAGGGTCCATGCTCTTCAAAGTATTAAAAAGGTTTTCGCTAGGCAAAAATCACTTACTTTACCTTTATAAGACAACCCTTCATTAACTTCCCTGGATTTCAGCATTTTTCCCTCTTTTTTAGGGTTTCATGTAGACCAGGCTGACCCTGACCATACTACATAGTAAAGGATGACCTTGAACTTCTAATCTTCCTGCTTCCTGTGGTGCTGGGATTACAGGCACCCTACTCCACCTGGTTTATGTCCTGGTAGGGATCAAATTCAAAGCCTCATGCATGCTAGGAAGGTACTCTACCAGTTAAGCTACATCCCCAGCCCCTATTTTTATTTATTAAAGGAAAATGTCAGAAGGAATGTCTTGGCATCCTCTTCCTTACTGGGAGTGATGTGCAGAGACCACTGGCAAATATCAGCTCATTGTTGCTAACCACTGAGCATGATAGCCACAAGCTCCACTCTCTATTATGTGTAAGCTCTTCTTCCCCTCCACGTACATGATATTCATAACAATATATTCAGAAAGCTAAATTCCCTTTGGTAATCTTGAATTTAATGTCACCTAAAAGTGAAACGCAGAACCCTGCCAGGTAACCAAGGCTTGGTCCTGCCCCATGGCACCTCTTCTTCCATCCTTGCCTATGTACCACCTCCCGAGGTCACAGAGCCTGGAACACATAGAGAGACCTTGCAGGGAGAAGCAGTCTGCCAAGCCACAGTTGTCACTTGGGGTCAATGTTTGCTACCCCTGCCCACTTGATGACTCCTGAGAAGAAGGATGCACAGGAAGAGGCACCTGGCTGGCCACAGGATACACATTAGGCTCATCCTTAGAGTTTAAAGGGAAGGAAGTGGTGGGTGGGAATGTCACCTCCTACTGTCCCCATGGTGTATCTCTCTGGCAGCTGACATATGGGTCATATCTTGAGTCCAATGTTAGAGCTGTTCATAAATGGGGTTTTTATGTAGTCATTAATTTATCACTAACTTCATGGCTGCTAGCCACAAAAGTAGGACAGATCTTAAAAAAAAAAAAAATGACCAGTTGGCCTCCCTCAAATAAGCATGTTAATTTTGCAAAGTAATCAAGAGGTGAGAGTTATCAGACATCCCCTCCCCTGGCCTTAAAGACCTAAGTTCTACATGGTTTCGTCCAGCTCCGTCCCTGCCACTCCCTCTACAGGACTGGGAAATGGAGGAAAGGGCTGTTTTCTCACCCTCTCCTCTTCAAAACAGTAACAACCCCAGCTGCCAGGAGCAATTCAGGAGTAGTCCATGATCCTCTGTTTGAATCAGAGAATTTTGGTAGACATGGTAGCCGATGTTCCCAGGTCCAGATACAGCCTCCAACTCCCCAGGGGACCCCCCCCACCCCAGCATCACCTACACACCACAAGCAAGTTCTAATGGGAGCAAACTGTTCCACCAAATCTACAAAAGGGTAAAGTTTGTGATTTTTCTTCATTGTTGTGATTGCCATCTGACATATTAAGGAGTGCGCTTCTTTGGAAGTTCTGACTTCTCTGATCTGTCTTGGTTATTTGTGTTATACAACCAAAGTTCTCTACAGACTTTTATTTTTGTACAATATCATTTTGTAACTTTTTACAAATAAAAGCTCATTTCTATTGCTCTCTGTACTTCTGTATTTCCTCGAGTGCCAGTGAACTCTGGCTTGGCCAGGCAGGCATCCACAGACATTGACTGGGAGCTGTGTCCTTCACCACCATTCAGCCCACAGGTTGGTCAGTGACCCTGCCCATCACTTCCTCATGATCAATTACCACCCAGGCAGAAAAAGAATTTATGAAGTTGTTCTTCACTTATTCATTCAGCAAACACTTATGATGTGTCTACACTGTGCCAGGCAGTGTTTAGGGCACTGGGGATCCAACAGTGGCAAAAAAAATCTTTAGCCTTGTGGAATTGATATTTTATTTGAAGGAAGACAAAGCATTCAGTATTGTAGTGACCCACATGATGGGTGTACAAAGAATACAACAGGATAGTGTGATAAAAAAATAACAGTAGGGTCTGCACAGAGGTGACCTGGAGTCCAAACTTAAAAAATGCTGTCAGTCAAACAGAAGCATCCTAGCAGAAGAGGCATCTTGTGCAAAACACTGAGGCAGGGAAGAGCTTGGACAGAGCCCCCACTTGGCAGCGCTACCCAGGTGACACCATTCCTGTTGCATCTACATGTAGCAAGCTTGGTGTAACTGTGTAGGTAGTTGTAGTTCAGTGTATTCTGAAGGAAACAGAATAGAAAGGATTGAATGAGGGGGACAGATTTTCCTACACACACACACACACACACACACACACACACACACACACACTGGGTATTTCAGTACTGTGGTTTCTGGCTTACTTAGAATGACAAAACAACCAGTGGCCAACTTTGGAACTGTCATCCAACCGAGAAGAGAGAGTATGTGTTGAAAGCTGGGAAATCCTTGCACTAAAAAAGAGAACTTTCACCACTGCAAAAACTCTCCCAGGCTCAAGCTGCTTCAGACCAGTAGCCCTGAAGGCTGGCTGTCTCCCAGGTGTCTGTCCTCCAAAGGAAGCTGGCCTTTCTGACCTTCGGCTATGCAAGCTCCTATGCCTTGTGCTCATGATATCATTTTGGACTGGTTTTTTCCTGTGTTAAGCAAGGAATTTTGGGTGAGTGCTAAGCCTAAGTATAAAATACTTTAGAAGAATCAGTCCACTCTCATGGTAGAGATGAAAATTCGGGGCTGGAGAGATGGCTCAGCGGTTAAGAGCACTGCTCTTGCAGAGGATCCGGGTTTGATTCCCAGCACCCACATGGCAGCTACGAACCGTCCTTAACTCCAGTTCCAGAGGACTCCGACGCCCTCTTCTGACCTCCGCAGCATTGCATGACATGGGTGCACTCACATACATGCAGGCAATATACTCATACACATAAAATTTAAAGAGAGAGAGAGAGAGAGAGAGAGAGAGAGAGAGATGAAAACTCAGAACTCCTTGAACCTGAGTCTCAAAGCCAGAAAGAGCGGGCAATATACTCATACACATAAAATTTAAAGAGAGAGAGAGAGAGAGAGAGACATGAAAACTCAGAACTCCTTGAACCTGAGTCTCAAAGCCAGAAAGAGCATCTCCTTCACAGAGTTCTGTTGGAGCTACAGCTGATTCAATGTCTGGAAACAGAATAACAGAAAGAGGGAGCCCAAGACACTCCTACCACCACATGGGCCACTCTTGTAAGAGCAGGGAGAGACTCGGGTCTCAGCTAGGGGCATCTGGCATTTTCCCATTAGGTGATGACATGTCAAATCCTAAGTGTCTTGTTGGGACACATCTCTGTTAGCAAAATTGCTACTGTAATCCCATGCAACAGTTAACTCATCTCTAGTCTTAGCCATACAATATCCTGAATGAAATTAAAACCAAATGTTGCCAAGTCATCCCTGAAAGTAAGCAGAGTTGGGGAAATAAGGGAAAGCACACATTTAGTCACACATGACAGCTCATCCCCGCCACATCCCCAGGCCATAGCAGGTGAGTGTAATGAAGATGGAACTGCAGACTGGGGGTGTGGGGGCAGACTCAGTGACACTCCCCAAGGTGAGGTACATGGTGACAGAGTATGTAAAAGTGCTAGAATGTCTTGGCAAGGGCAGCAGATGAAAAGAAGGCTGAAAGAAAAGTCTGAGACAGCACAGAATAGGCTGCTAAATTTAAGTTTCAGATGAATACATAATTTCTTAATACAAGCATGTCTCCTATAATATCTGGGGACATGTGTTATATAAAACATACTCCCAACTAAAAACATGGGTTATTTACCTGAGGTTCAATTTTAGTTGAGTGTCCTACAGTTTAATTTGCTCTATTTGGCAAGAGAAAGTGACATTATGGCTAGACCTAGAGTCTAGGTAGGTCAGGGTGACAATGAGCAAGGCTTGGCTGGGTTGGGTGACAGACATTCCAGGTGGAAGGGATAGTGTGAACTAAAATGACAGAGGAGCCATGGGTAGGAGGAGCACATGGGCTCAGGGTCAACAGCCGTTGGCTATAGTTGATGCAATACAGAGGAACCACAGGACCTTTAGAAGCCTGGAAAATGTTTTGATTTAAGTATATATTTAAGGTTTATGTTATTTATTTTTTACTGTTAGATTTTTTGAGTCTTACTATATAGTTCTGGCTGGCCTGAAACTTGCTATGTACTCTAGGCTGGCTTCAAACTCACAGAGATCCACCTGCCTCTCCAGCACTGGGATTAAAAGTATGTGCACCACTATGCCCAGATGTCTAATTTATTTTTGACATATGATAATTGCACAAGTATGTGGTATTTTGGTTCATGAACACATTGTCTAATAAGCATGTCTATCACCTCAAACATTTTTGTGTGTGATTAAACGTTCAAACCCCGTCTTTTTGGTGTTGTGAGGTACGTACTGCCTGCAGTTGACTACAGTGGGGCTTCCTGTTCACTGACCCACAGCCTTTATTTCTCCTTACCTAACTAGTGTTACCATTTGATACCCATTTTAAATTTATTTCATTTTATCCACTTGATATCATTAAAATCAGAAGAAAAAAAACTAATAATAAGCATATAAGATCATGAATCCAGCCTGAATTCTATTCATCTCTGTAGCAAGGCCACCAAATACATTTTCATTGTTTTGTGGAGAAAAGGCCCACAAAGACAGAAGTGCCTGGAGCCCATGAAAGTCTCAGTGTAGCCTGGGTGAGCCCATCTTTGGCTTCCTTTCTTTCTAACTTCCACTTCTTGTTAATCATGAATGCTAACCTCATCCTTAACAAGGCTTTTTCCCATCCTCTGAGTTAGATTTGCTTTTCACAATATTTTCATCTATTTCCTACTTAGGGAAACATAGAACTAAGGGCAGGTTATTATTATCCATACTTCATTTGTGGGTCTTTTTTTAGAAAAGCCAGGACAAGTGTCCTAGAGCACATGGTCAATAGAAGAGACAGATCAGACAGAAGATGGACCTGGTACGTGGACACTGAGGAAGGCTAAGAGAGGATATGAGCCTCCAGGACATAAGATCACCAGTGGAGTTGTATAATGGCAGAAAAAGGTGAGGGTCTTAAATATACAGAACAGATTCTCTTAACTTGAATGGTTCTTCAAAGCAGTATGTGTAAGGAATTTAACTCAGTCCCTGCTCCATGCCAGGCTCTCCTTCACTCAATTCATTGTTAAGCATCCATCTTCTACCCAGAGTAAGATACCAAGTTATGCAGACAAAGTCCTCCAGGAGCTACTAGGCTGGAGAGGGAAACAGCATGAAAACACTAAGAGGGCAGCAACTCCCAAGCACATATGCACAGAGGGTCATGGGAGCATGGGGGAGGGGTGGCAAGTCCAGCTGAGTCAGGTGGACTGGTAAAGGCAATCAGAGATGGCTTCCTAGAGGTGACAGCCTAGATGACTAAACGATACATAGGAATGTTACAGAGGGAAGAGGAGAAAAGAGAGGCCATTCCAGGCCAGGATTCTATAAACATCTAGGTGTTGATGGCTGGGGAGGTAGAGACGGGAACAACATCAGCTGTGAACTTTGTGGGGCTGGAAGGGGCAGAGGCAGCAGGGGAGGCAGGATAGTAAGGTGGGGCTCAGGACTCAACTCTGCCAGGCTCGGATTGGTGGCCATCTTTGGGAGAAGATCACTTTTGATCCTCTTATCTGCCTCTTCCTTTCCAAACTTCTCCCTCCTCAGCCTCTTCCCCTCCTCCCCAAGGCCTTACAAGCTATATGACTGTCATTCACCCATGTGGTCCCTCCAGTTGAAGGGGCTGCAAGTCTTGTCCAGACCAGCACTGTCCAAGCTATCCCTCTGAACTGAGAAGACCTCTACAGAAGCAGAGGCCTCTTCAGAGGCTGGATTTCTTTGATTCTTGTAGTCAATCCCCTCTCAGGAAGAGACAACTCCATTAGAGGATTAAACAGGTTCTAAGAAGGTCCATGGAGGAAAGATCCATTTAATTTTGCTCAACTCCAGCATTTCGCAATGTTATTTGATCAAGGACTGTCTCTGGCTTCAGTAGAAATATTCTGCTCATGCATCACGAGAAATGCTGTGTTCTAGAACCAAAAGAATTATGAATCTCTTGTTTGCAGACATCAGAAGGCAAGTTGTTTCTTGGCAGGGGAACCTTCCCAGAGCCTACCAAATTTGATCAAAGGGCATGGGCAGAAATAACATGTGTTTCTTCTGAGCCTAACATTTCACCATCATTACAAGACCCTCTAAATTCTCTCCTTCCTTCTGAGACAGAGGCTGGCAACATTGGCAGGGGGAGGGCACTCTGTCAATTTTAAGTGATTGTGAGGAAGCCAGCAACTCTGCCAACCCACAACAGACATAGTGAGGTGAACAAGAAATAACCCTTGGCTATTTTGAGCCACTCAGATTTGGAGATTTGTTACTGCAGTGTACCTTGGTCTAGCCTTTCAGGTACACACTTTTATGATGAAGAGGCATGTTACAGACCATAACGAGAAGCAGAACACTTAAACAGAGGTAAGAAAATAGAGTTCAAGAACTCAATGTGATAGAGAAGTAGTAGGAAATACAGTTGAAATGACAACCAAGGCTTAGATCTATAGACTGTACAG